CCCCAAAACCCCAAAACCCCATCTCCTAAGTAAAGATAAAAATCTGATTAACCCTTAATAAACAATCATTTATAAAAGAATAGTTCATACAGACTAGAGTTAATAGTCTTTACTTTCTCAATATCCTCATCTTCATCATCAAGCTCTGTTATGACACATTTGATATAGTATTTTACAGAGAACTTATTATTTACATTTTTAAGTGTGGGAGTAAGTTCCTCTATTTCACTCAGCGGAATGCTGAAAGGAATTACTTCCTTATTTGAAGCACAACCATCTACTACTTCATAATTCAGAATAGTACGAATGTCGTAGAGTTTTTGTCCATTTTCTCCAATGTTATTATGATTATTTTATTCAGAAAGTTAGATTTTCTAATTAAAATCTTTGCTGCTTGTAGAGACCTGAATTTCTTACTGTATTAGTTAAAGGGATACACTCTAAACCCTATATTAAGTTTAAAGATTAACTTCAGTGAACTTTATTGAACCCTCTATAAATTCTGTTTCAATGTTGATCTTTGCTTTATTAAGTGTAAACTCAAGATTTAAAGAAGTCTAAGGATGATTATATGGGACTAGTGTATTCACAATTGAAGGATAAAAATCTTATTTCAAGTTCGCCTAAGAATCTTGAGCATTATGATGAGGTAGACTTCTATTTTTTACCTTCAAATCCTATTCTTCAGTTAATAAAGCTTTCATTAAAGTTCCTTAATAACTCATTTCAACTCTAAGGAGATATCTAAGTTTTAAACCTATACCATCATAGGAGTCCTAAGTAAAATCTGGTCTAGTAAATTAAAATTTGAGTGTAATTTGATTTTAGAATTCTCCTGAAAGTTCGAGTTCACGAGTTACTTGTAGGAATTAGTATGGAGGTGTGCTACTCAACAATCCATGTACCTTACTTTCTAATAAATTCAGAATAAATAGAGGCTAATATCTTACCAATAACTCCAATAAGTGATATCTTTATACCATCATGATAAATGACTTGACCTTCAATAAGTGTATTAATTGACACTTCCCCCTTCACATCATCCTCATTCTCAAAATGCTCCTTAATATGAGAAAGTCTGATGCTGCAATGAGGGTGCCCGCTTCCTATGTTGTAAAGGGTGGACATTAAAGAGGGTTAACTCTGAGTGTATTCTGTCTTATTATTTTAAGATGGTTCTGGGTCAGAGTCATTTGTATACTGTGATACTGGATGGTCTGGCCTTCTTTATCTTTACTTGGTAGGGTCTTCTTTCAATTCTTCCTCTTGTTATTTCTCTGCAGAACTATCAGGAGTGGCTGTTTGCTAGACGAAGTAAGATGTAATTGAACTCTAAAACAATAATTACAAGAGTAAATATACCATCCATGATGTCATTTTTGAATTTTTATAATTTATAATTTTCAATTGATTTACTTTTATAAGCAACGGGGGTTTTGGGGTTTTGGGGTTTTGGGG